CAGAAAAGAGCACGCACGAGGAGAATAGCCGCACACAGGTTGTACTTCAAGCCCGTCAGGTGCAGGTCATCAACCATTCCGGCAATTATTGCATTTCCTAGAACAGATCAGTCCCGGACCCTTTATGGACATGGTGCACACAAAGCACCTATACTCGTCCGATCGCTGATTCATTGGGTCAGATCGCAGAGGCGGCGACAAGAACGTGGAACGTACAGGAAGGAGAGCAGGTAGAGAAGGCAGGATAATGGAACTAGTCGCATGTCGAGTTTCCAATACACTCTACAAGAGTCAACCTCATCGTTTGGCGACCCATGTTCCGATGCAACGTCTTGCACGGTCTCGGTAGGGGACAGTTTGTCTTTGATACTGAAGGAAGACATCTTGGGGCGGAGAAACGAGGTCCAAACTTCTGTGGCAGCGACGCAGCTTCTTATCGACACCGGCCATTGTACTCTGCCTCTTGCTAATGCGCTAGCAATGTGCTTATATCAGGAGCCTGGGAAGGATTGTCCCCAAATGTGGACTCGAGTAGGCGAACTCTAACCGATCCGCGGCTGAAAGAAGTTGTGAGCGGGGGTGAGTGACTACTCAAGCTTCTGTGGCGGCGACTAACCCACGCGGTTCTCAAAGCTATAAAAAAGTAGCCCGCACATTTGTCATGGGGCACACTCAAAGTTCTGGAGCGGCTCTTGAGGAAGCTTCATACAAACCCCGTGGCCTAATGCGTCCCAAACGAAGTTTCGTTTAATCTTGGGCGGAACTGAGCGCTCGGCTATGAATGGAGCGTGGAGTCTTGGCTCTGCAAAGCTTCATCCTTCGGTCTCCGCTATCTCAATAAGCTGACTATCCATGGATGTAAAAAGTATGACGGGGAAGAAGAAAGATCACACGTACGTTGGATTCGGTAGTGAAGCTGGCGCCTGGAGGACACGCAGGCATTTTCTCAGGATATGATACGACCATGAATGCTGATGAATCTAGCCATTACGCATGAAGTGACAAAAATATCACTTTGGAGCGATTGGAAAGATATAGAAGCATGCGATCGCGCTGGATGATACGAGTTCGAGTCGATGTACAGGTTGGTCGGCGGTGTAGCAGGCGCTTGACTTATTGAAGCTCCGACTGGGTGCGACGGTGGCAACGGCAGCAGCTGAGGCCTCCTGCCTCTGACCAGCGACGCTCCTGGTGCCAATATTATGCGACCTTCTCAATTCCGTGTCCTCGCCGAGATCTGGATTGTGCAGTGTTGTAGGCTGAGCTCCAATATGTATGGGTAAATTTATGTTATTTCTTTCTCTCATGCGTTTGCAGAGCTCAGCCAAACGCAACATATTCTGTTCCAGTTCGTTGGCTACCCGCTGACCTCAACAGTGCTTACACTTCAACGCCATGCGTAATAGTATCATTGAATATTACTAGCCAGGCATTCATTAGTATCACTTAAAGCTCAGCTGGCATCCGCTGGTATCGCGACTGATCTAGACACTCACATGGTAAGACCACGTCAAGTATTAGCCATACTGACAGCATATTCGAGCTCGAGTCCAGGCTGTCTAGAACTGATTTGTCGCTTGAAGCGTCTCGGCACATCATACTTCCCGGAGCGTTCGCCACTACAAATCATGCCCGGAGTCGGTAGGTTCAACGTTGCGAGCGGGCTTCTGGGTACCCCTCTCGTATATTTCTTCCCAGCGAGTCGCTTCTGTTTGTGGGTGCCTTGATGAGACGGATGGGCGGTCTCGACAACGCAGGTGCCAAGATCACTTCCTTTTCTTACCGTGTGCTGATTCTCGCACTAGCGATGTGGGTGCACGCCGCTCAGGTGGTCTGATGACTGATCTACCCTGTTCGCCTGCACCACCGCGTCTGATTGTCATAGGCGGCCTTTCTTCACTGCGATTGCGGCGGTCGGACGTGCGATACTCTGTGTTGGTAGTATCCTTCCCCATGAATATTGAGTGCTCTCATGATTTACCGTCTTGTGTACAGAGGCGTGGGTATAACACGTTGGTAGATTTACTCGATGCGTGATCAAGCACTCCATGTATGCGTATCCGCACCCGTGCTATGTATTGAATCGATCTGATGGCTGTATTAGTCGATGGTATGTGTCATTCCAGGATTTTAGAATGTTTCCTGAGTAACCCATACTTTACGGCCCCTACGCTGCTCTTGGTCTTGTCGAAGCCCACATCGTTAGGGAAAGAAAGAAATCGAGCATGGCCTATTGGGATATCCAGGTGAAGGTCCCTTGCGTCACTGGTCAGTGACCACTGTTGGTCTCGACAAACTGGGCCTCTGCAGGCGATTGGGCGATATACTGGTAACCAGGTAACTTTGTGAACGCTCGTTGAAAGCAGAACAATAGTCAAGTAACGCACATCCAGTAATATTACAGGATATTGTGTATGTTACGCTCCGCCTGTCAAGAATCTGAAGTCAGGCTGTTTCCTTTACTTGCCACTTTCTGAGCATGATTTTCCCGCTCATGCTCGGGAGGATAGCGTGACTGAAGTACAGATTGCGTGGACGCGTCCCGTCTCCAGCGACCTTCATATCGTAGTTTACCACGATGTACGCGAGCAGCGCCTTCAGCTCAGTGGCGGCAAAAAACCGTCCGGGGCTGAGATTTGGAACAAAATCAGCGTCGTTTTCCTACACTGAAACATGGACCACTGTACCGCGCGACTCACCAGGCGTGCCGCCCAACACCGAAGGCCACATACTGATTGGACGTGTGTACGAACTGATGCTTCGTACCCTCTCCATCAACTTCGCGGAGGCGCGCGAAGCGGAAAGGGTCGAATTCGTTGGCGTTAGGGTAACAGGCGTCGTCTAGATGTAAACGGTGAGTTTTAATGTTGACCATAGTGCCCGCAGGGATGACTGTGCCGTCGCTGAGCAGGACGTCTTTCAGCGCCTTCCGTCCAGGAGCAACTGAACAAGGACAAAGATAGTAAGTATCAATACCATAACAGAACGTAGGTCTGCCACAAGAAAATGTACCTACCCAAAGAGATCCCTTTGTACCTCTGCGACTCTTTGAGGAAACTGTCGAGCTTCCGCATCTTGCCCAATGCCGTGTTCGTCCATCCCTCTGCCGCAATGATGGACCCTACCTCTTCGCGAAGAGGATTTATATATTCCGGGCACGCCGCAAGATGGTATAGCGCATGGGTAAATGCTCTGCAGGCTCCGTTGGCAGTCAAGAATGTATGAAGTATGAGCTTGGACATACCGTTGATGTCGTGTGGATAGCCTGGAAGTTGACCAGTAGAATCCTTGCAATGATGGCTTCGTCTTCTGCACCTCTCGACATCTCGTCCTCTATGATCCATTGTAGCATATCGTTCTACACGCCCTCAGTCAGCGACCTCTCGCTTGTGCAACTGGTTGAATGGCTCACCGGCTTTCCTGGCCAGTCTTGTCCTAGACCATGCTCTGAAATCTGCTCCTTCCTCGCTGCGATGACAGGCCTCAGACATGGGAGGGCGGCGCGACGTACTGTCCGCCTGGTGCTACTAGTGAACCATGCCACGATTCTGTGTGATAAGCGTCAGATCTCATTGGCACCTGCGCGCAGGTGTAGATGTGTCTCACGGTCGCAGGAAATGGGGGGACGTCTTGAGGATGAATGCGTCCTTGATAAGGTCCGTCGCTATGCTTACTGCCATCTTCAGGTATACTTCAATTCTGCCTATGATGACTTCAATTAAGCCGTGCCGACTACAGGTGTTTCTCGGACTCACATACGGGAAGTCCGACGAAGACACGGTTGCTAAGGCGGGCGACAATCTTCTGCGTCGTCGTGGTGACGTCTATAGTGGTCCATTCTGCTGTCTCCATTAGAGAGACATACAGTGGACTATCAATATTACGATAAATGCAGTGTGCCTACGTACCGTCACCGTTAGTGGGAACGTATTCAGGGAGGGTTTCCCGCAGCTCATCGACTACGTCTGGGAGGATGGCCGGCAGGGTTCTCGTCAACTTATCCCTGGTCAAATAAATGTGATAGGGATCTTCGTATGGCTCCTTTGCAAAGATGTGTCGTATTTGAAGGAACTGTAGTATACGATCTGGCAACGGTTATGGTAATCGCTAAGGGAGATCTGAATATGGACAAGCGACTCACCTCTTCGTTGCTCTCCCACGGCCGAGAGCTCCTCTTCCGGCCTTTTCCGGATCTCATCTACCATCTCGGGACCGTTCAGAATTATAGTCCACGATTCCAAGTCCGCAACCTTGAACGCTGAACCCTTGAACTGTCCGCCGGAGACCAACATAGTTGTGAATTGTTTCGATGAGGCGCACTTTTA